ACTTAGAGCAATACAGCAAATTACATTTTTAATTAAAAACTCTTCACATTCAGAATAAAAAAAATAAAATAAATTTCAGAGATGTAAAAATACAAGGAGGAAAAAGGCGGTGCTTTATGAAACTGAGCATGTGCAAATAAGACATACACAATATCACTTCCTCCCGGTCTACAATCTCATCTAAAATTTGACACGATAGAGGAAGTATTTCCCACATACCCATTCGAGCTTAACTTGCGCAACCTTTGTAACATGTTAACATCTGTGTACTGAGAACTTTGCAGATATTCATGTAGGTTGAAAATTATTATTATTTAATAAAAAAATATATATGAGTCTTCCTCAAAGAAAAAGCAAGTGGACGCAGTCAAATGTGAAGTAAAAGCATCAGAGTTCCAGCGCCAGCACGACAAGGATTTCAGCATTGTCCAACATGATTTGTCTTTTTGAAATGATAAAAACAGCTGATTTCCCAGTCTGTGATCATGGTAATGAGAGAGCCTTGGCGAGCCGTATCCAGAACCAGCCCTGCGTAAACGGCCGTGTGTAATCGCAGACCGTCAGGAAGCGTAAAATGCTGGGGAATGGTTTCGACATCGGCTTGTAGATAACTGGAATGAGACGTTTACTCCGAGCACCTGAAGAGGAGTTTAAAGATAGTCACGTTCACGTGTCRAAAGAAAAAGGACAACCATGAATAAAACAGGTAAAACTTAAATTTACCTGGGCAGAGGCTGAGCGCAAACTTGGTTTGAAAGTCGCAGGCGTCGCTGTCGAGGTATTCGTCAGAAATCACCACCACCATTCTCTTACACCTGCACAGACGGTTACAGCCCGCCGCAGAGCGTGAGAAAAGAAAAACAGCTGACTTTCTATATCGAAACAAAAGAGCTGTTCAAGTCTAAGTAGTTTTCAATAATCACTGACGTGCTTACGTTTGCACCGACACAAAACAAAATAATAATTAAAAAATAAAAATGAAGACCTCCTCTCGATGAGTTCACTGGTGATGGTCCAAACGCAGGAGCCCGGCAGGACGTTCCTGTCGAACACGCACAGCTTCAGCTTGTACTCCGTCTGCTCCAGCTGCTGGATCATCTGCAGGACGAACTCGAAGTCGCTCTGGCAGTAGCAGATGAAGGCGTCGAACAGCTCAGGAGCACCTGGATTAAAAAAAACGATTTTGATTAAAAAGAAAAAAATTGTATAGGTCCTCTGGACTGGTTCTTCTTTAATGAAACGTTTCGTCTCTCCTCCAAGAGACTTCTTCAGTCTGAGAGTTTC